GCCTTGGCATCTTTTACATTGCTTTACCCCTATTTTGATGTTTCACAGACCTTGCTTTTCCCTCCTCTCCTGAAGGGCTCAAGCACGGCTATGCTCTATGGCATGGTGCTTTCAGGGAGGGCTCCCGAGATTCGATTCCGGGTGGGTTCCAGGGATGCCACCCTGGGCTTTTGTTTTGACGGCTTCTTTTTGCCCGGTTAGTAACAGCTGCTGCTTCAGACACGTTGGCAGAATTGGCGGTTTGGATTGGTGGTTTGGAGGTTGTGGTTTGACATCTACCATCCGGGCAGAATTCGTGGTCAGTGCTTGAAAGCTAGGTTACAACAAGCCCAATTCAGGCACTGTTTCAACACCTTCAAGCATCCGAACCCGCCTGCCAGGCGAATGGGATCCTAAAGGAACCCCTTGCTTGACAGTCATGGGAAGCAACAATTCTGAAAAGGGATGTTCGGATGTTCCACACTTTCAGTGTGGAAACCATAATTTTGGTACAGACAATTTGAGAGTCATGGGAACGCTTCTTCCCTGCAGCTCGTCTTCCTTCGTCAAAAACTTTGGCGCGTTCCAGGCGGCGCTGAACGAGAGCCAGGAGCAGGCGGTGAGGAAGTTGGTGCGGTGCAGTCACGGGGTGCAGCTGGTGCAAGGGCCCCCAGGCGGGAGGGGCGGGGGCGGAAGGCGAGAGGCACATGCAGGCAAGCCAAAACGGGGCGGTTGAAGCGGCTGGTTTTTGGTGTGGCTTTTGCACAGCGTTAAATATGAGGCGGGTGAAACGGCTCAAATGTTGTGGTTTTCATGCTGTTTAATGGCGCAGCATTAAATGAGGCTGTTATTAACTTCCCCATTCTTTCCAGGGGTCCTTCTTTCTAGAAAACAACCAAAAACCCTGGGGACATGGCTTGGCTGAAAAGAATGGAATTGGAATCAACCCCTAGTTTTTTTTTTTTTTTTTTTTTTTAATAACGACGGTTGAAGAGATGCTAACCTCCCAGGGCTTGGCCCAGCCGGCGCAGGGGGGGGGGGCAATTCCTAGATTGCCGTCTGCGAAGCTTGGAGCAAAGGGCCCAGGGGTCAGCAGCCCTTGGAATCGGCCAATCAGGGAACCTCGATTGGTGGCATTTGAACCACTGGTCCTTGTGGAGGGCAAAGGGGAAAACAAATCCAGAGCATCAACTAGGAAAGACTTTTCAAGACTAAGTTCCCCCTACTTTTTCAGGAGCCATTTTTTTGTCGTCCCCATTTTGTCTCAAAGCCTCCCGAATGTTGGTATTTCGCCCAATTCTAGGCGCAACCCCCATTTTATCTCAAAACCACCCCACCTTTTTGGAAACACATGGCTTCTTAAGGTTCTGCAAAACGTTAGACCTACTGTGGGTGGACGAAATCCTGCACCACCTAAGAAACCCTGGAATGATGATTCCGCTGTAAGTGCCAAAGACCATAAAATTCCCATGGTCTTAATTAAAGCAGCGCCCAAGAGGATTTGGTCCAGCCACAGTAGCTTTTGCTCGTTTGGAGCCACCCGGTAACCTCCCCGAACGCCAGGCACCGGCAAGACCCACACCTTGAGCGTGCTGCTGCAGCAGTGCGCCCTGCTGGCGCTGGGGAGCTCCAGCGCGCCTGGGACGACCCCCGCTGCGGCCTTAGGGGTCCGAGCAGCAAAACCGATGCGGCTAGATGAAGGGATATGAAGGGTTAGTAAGGGACCATCTACATAGTTCTGGGTAGACCATTTGAATGCCGGGTTTTGATTATGACTCACCTCACCTGGCATGGCGGGGCCTCAGAGGGGGTAAACCCTCCATTTAGGTATCTTGAGGTGGTGAAATTTGGTTGGGTTTCATTTGATTTGACCCACTAGACCGTTATGCACTTTTAGCAGGGGTTCCGCAATTTTCCCTGTTTTGGAACCTCCAAAAGTGGAAACCAATCCTTTCACTGGAAGCTGGTGAGTTGCAACTGCTAAAGGGCCCAGTGACTCACCTTCCGGTAGACAATCGGTGGCAGGGTCCGAAAAGGGCATGTACTTTTGACAACCCCTGCAAGTGTTTTTGAGGCTACCCGGTTCAAAAAGAGAGACAAACAATAAAAGACTTAAATCAGAATCCCTACTGTGGATGGATGAAACCCTGCACCCTTCGAAACCATGATGGGAAACCATTGCCGTTGGCATTTACAGCAGAATCATGATTCCAATGTTTCCTAGGTGGAGCGAAATGGAGTTCATCCATCCACAGCTTCCATTTGCTGAAACGAATATTTGTTATTCTCCCCTACTGGTTTTGCTTAGAGGGAATCTTTGGTGGTGCCTCAAGATCGGTTGGTGGATATGAATCCCGACCTAAATGATGTCCAGCAAAGCACCTGATGGAAACGATAGAAGCACCACGCTGAATTCACAATGCCATGTGCATAGTATCTACCTGGGTAGGTCCATTCAACATGCCTAAGGTTTGTTCCATTCCTTCCAATTGCCTACGAATATGACTGATTTTCCCTATTGGTTTTAAAGGGAATCGATTTCACTACTGGACACATTTCATTTTTTCCAGGGGTCGAACAACCAAATGGAAGACCGTCAGGCCGCGTCCGCGCCAATCCTTCGGCTTTGGTTTCCTCAGGCCCTGGGCGACGTGCCGTCGCAGCCGCCGGAGCCCAGGAGCGCGAGCGGAGACGACGGGAACGAGAGGCGGGGAGTTGGGAGCCTGGGAGTTGCTTGGGAGTGGCGTTGGGAGAGCACAGCACAGTGGTAGAATGATTTTAGGTTTCTAGTTGGGCCCCTCAACTCTTATTTTTTTCGCCGGGGGCCGCCCAACACCCCATGCTTTTTTTTCAGAAGTGGAGCGAGTTAAACCCCTGATTTCTGAGCTGGTTGCTTAAGAGCTTGGGAGTGAGAGAATACTTTGCCCTGGTTCAAACTGTGATTTTTGGGTGGTTGTTTATAGTGTAACAATCAGTTGACATTTGGACGCCCCCAATTGTGGCCCACATATGTTGCATGTGTGCCACCTGTATGTGGGTTGGGTATGTGAATCGGTTACATCATTGGCAAGGCCACCTTAGATGTGGTCCGGAAGAATTAAACTGATAGGTTCGATTGTTTGTCGGGACCCATGATATTTGGGTGCCTGCAACATGCATAGGGGCTGTCTATTTTGTAGTGGCCGCGCATCTTTCAAACTGGCCGTGCCTGACATTGTCATGCATACCCGTCACCAAAGCTGGATCACCATGTCAATGTGAACAGCACGGACTTGTGTTCCTGTCCGCCCCGAAAGAACCATAGACTACTAGCAAAGACTTGTCACATCTTGCGGAACCATGATCACTCTGAGCGGAAAAGGTGTCACTGCTTACGGAAGTGAAACTGTCACTGCTTACGGAAGTGAAGCCACTACACGCGGAAAAGTACAGGGGTAGGAAGCTCCTTCCTTTCTAAGGGCTCCTTTCCAAGGCTCCTTTCTAAGCGGGTTCCAGCTCGAAAAGCGGATCCCCAAGACAACCTTCATCACGGCCCCCCTTTTCAGGAGATTGGCCGGGGATCCGCTTTTCGAGCTG